ATCTGCGAATAATGAAAATTTTACTTATTTTCAATTTGGGTGCTTTTTATTTTTTTAAATAAATCTTTATTGTTCAGCTGGACTTGTAAGTTTATTTCTTTCAACAGGTAGGGGAAGTTTTCTGTCATTATTTCTTCAAATAGGTTTTCAATATCTTGCTCTCTCTTTTCTTCTGGTAACCCCATGATTCAGATGTTGGTATGCTTGAAGTTGTCCCAGAGGCTCCTTATACTATCTTCATATTTTTGGGTTCATTTCTCTTTTTGCTTTTCTGATTGGATGTATTTTGCTTCTTCATATTTCAAATCTTTTACTTTATTCTTAGGGTCCTCTAGTCTGTTGTTTGATCTCTTATATTATTCTTTATTTCATGTCATCTGGGAATAATAAAAATTTCATTAGTCAGTGTATGTTTAATTTCTAATTGGTCCTTTTTCATATCCTTGAAGGTCTCACTAGATTTCTTGGAGGTTTCTAGAAGATTCTTGAGTAAACTTATAACCGTGGTTTTGAACTCTATATCCAGTAGTTTGCTTTCCTTCGTTTCTTTCATTTGTGACATGTTTCTTTGTCTTCTCATTTTGGCTGCTTCCCTGTGTTGATAGAGTGGTTTTGTGTGCTAGATGTCTTATTGAGCCCAGTGGCTCAGCCTCCCTAATTTCCTGAGGTGGAAAGTCTTGGTGCACCCCTTTGTGGGCTTTGTGCACAGTCTTGCTGTAGTTAAGGCTTGATTATTTTTGGTATCACTGGGATGAATTGACCTCCAGGCCTATTGGCTGTGACAATCAGCTGTGCCTACAGTGGAAGAGCTGTTGTGCAGGAGAAACCCTTATGGGGCAGGACTTGCTTCAGTGGGGTTTTGGTGCTCACTGAGCCTGCCCCTTGAGGCAGTTGCTTATGGATGTAAAGAGTTGTAATCTGGATGGTCTCACTCAGACAACTAGGTACACTGGCTGTTGAATCTCCAAGTAGGTGCAAAACAAGCCACTGCCTGAGGCCACCCAGGAGGAGCTACAGAGAGATCTGCTGATTCCTCCTCTTTTTTGGGGGGTTTGGAGGTGTCCAGATGAGGCCAAGCTGTGAAGCAATTCAGGCTGCTGTTGAGCTTTAGGCCTTCTTTTGGAAGCTCTAGGACTCTGTGACCAAGCTTAAGTTTGTTAGGTTTTACATTGCAAAAGGACAGACCATTCATATGCAAAAGCCTCTGTGCACTGCTTGGGTTCAGCTGTAAATTGGGTGGGGCAGGGTCTCAGGGTGGAGTCTCAGAATCACCAGGGCAGAGAAAACAGCAATTTCTGACAGTCAGCCCTGCCTCAGAGAGGTCCTCAGTTCTCTGTGTCCTGTGGCCCCATGCAGGAACAATGATCACTGCAAGCATCTCTGCGAGAAAACTGCCCTCATGTTCTTGTTCCAATGCCAGGCAATACAGTTTCTCCCCATATGAGTCTGGGTCTCCAGAGTCTTGCCCAGAGCTGGAGTTCAGAGAAACTGGAAGCTTGTATCTCCCTCACAATGAAAAAGATGACAGTGTACCCAGTTGCCAGCTCATTTCATGTGCACCTCAGTACCTACACATTTTTGCACCTTGGCATCTCCTACCAGTCTCAATGTGCTTTTCTCTTTCCTTCTAGTTGTATAACTTCCACTTAGAAGGTCTTCCAGTGGTTCTGGATGATATTTATTTGGTCTTTTAGTTGTTTTGATGTGGTTGTGCGAGGCAGGAAGTACAGGCGATTACCTATACTGCCATCTTGGTTCCTCTCCCTCTCATTTCTTCTGCTTGTCTGATTGCATTGGCTACCACTTCCAGTCCTATGTTGAACAGGAGTGGTGAAATTGGGCGTCCTTGCCTTGTTCTTGTTCTTAAGGGAAATGTTTTCAGTTTATGCCCATTGAGTATGATGTTGGCTGTAGGTTTGTCATATAAGGCTTTTATTTTGTTGAGGTATGATGCTTCTATTTCCACTTTGCTGAGAGTTTTTATCAGAAAAGGGTGTTAGACTTTGTCAAATGCCTTTTCTGCATCAATTGATATAATTATGTGGTTTGTCTCTCAATTTTTTTATATGATGTATCACTTTTATTGATTTAAGGGTATTATACCAGCCTTGCATCCCTGGAATAAATCCCCCTTAGTCATGGTGCACGATCTTTATAATGTAACTAGAGACCCGGTGCACAAAAATTTGTGCACTTGGGTGGGGGGTCCCTCAGCCCAGCCTGTGCCCTCTCGCAGTCTGGGACCCCTCCAGGGATGTCCACCTGCTGGCTTAGGCCCACTAACCAGGGGGATTGGGCCTAAGCTGGCAGTCAGACATCCCCCTGGCAGCTTGGGGGGATGTCCAGTTGCCAGTGGGGAACAGGCCTAGCTGCAGTTGGACATCTTAGCACTGCTGAGGAGGCGGGAGAGGCTCCCACCACCACTGCTGTACTGGCGGCCGGCAGCCTGGATAGTGGATGAGCAGAGCTCCCCCTGTGGGAACACACTGACCACAAGGGAGCAGTTCCTGCATTGAGTGTCAGCCCCCTGGTGGTCAGTGTGTGTGTCATAGTGACCAGTGATTCCCAATTGCTCTGCTGTTTGGGTCAATTTGCATAATTTTTTTATTATATAGGATAGAGGCCTGATGCCTGGGTTGGGCCAGCTGGTATTCCCTAAAGGGTGTCCCATTTCAGAGTGCGGGTCCCCACCCTGGGTTAGGGGCTGAGGGCTGTTTTCAGACTGACCACACCCCCTTCAGGGTAAGGGTCCCCATTGGGTGCCTGGCCAGCCTGGGTGAGTGGCTGATGGCTGTTTGCAGGCTGGCCAACCCCCCCAGCAGGACCCTTACTCCATGAGGGTGTGGCCAGCTTGGGTGTGGGGCTGATGGCTGTTTGCAGGCTGGCTATAGCCCCTTCAAGAGGGGGTCACCCCTGGGGTGCCTGGCCAGCCTGGATGAGGTGCTGAGGGCCATTTTCAGGCTGGCCAATTCCCCTAGCAAGTACCCTCTCCCCATGAGGGTGTGGCCATCCTGGGTGAGGGGCTGATGGCTGTTTTCAGTCTGGACATAGCCCCCAGCCGCCCAAGGTTCCAGTGGAGGCTGGCTGGAAGCAGGTATCTGGGATTTATTTACCTTCTATAATTGAAACTCTTTTTGCCTTTTATGGAGGCCACAGCCAGCCAGTGCAGGCGGGAAGCTTGGCTTCCTCCATCGCCGGGCAACCAAACCTCTGGCTTGCTCCAGCTTCATATCTGCTCTCTGCCATCTTGGTTAGGTTAATTTGAATATAGTTGCTTCAATTGGCTGGTGGGCATGGCTTGGCCATAGCAAAGGTACAGTCAATTAGCATCTTTGTCTTTTATTAGTGTAGATGCTTGATCTAGTTTGCTAGAATTTTGTTGAGGATTTTAGCATCTTTGTTCATCAGGGATATTGGCCTATAATTTTCTTTCTTTGTGGTGTCTTTCAAGCAGCAGTTCTCAACCTGTGGGTCACGAACAATGAAAATACATCATGCATATCAGATATTTACATTATGATTCATACAGTAGCAAAATTACAGTTATGAAGTAGCAATGAAAATAATTTTATGGTTGGGGATCACCGTAATATGAACTGCATTCATATTGGGGTTCACAGCATTAGGAAGGTTGAGAACCACTGGGTCCTGGCTTCATAGAAAGAGCTTGGAAATGTGCCTACCTCTTGAATTTTTTTGGACTAGTCTGAGAAGGATTGGTTTTAGTTCTTTGAATGTTCAGTAAAATTCCCCTGTGAAGCCATCTGGTCCAGGGCTTCTGTTTGCTTGAAGCATTTTAATTATTGTTTCAATTTCATCAGTAGTTATCGGCCTACTCAGGTTTTTTTATTCTTCCTGGTTGCGTTTTGGAAGCTTGTTTAGGAATGTGTCCATTCCATTGAGGTTGTCCAGTTTGTTGGAGTAGAGTTGTTCATAGTATTTTTTTTTTACAATCCCTCTTTATATCAATGTTGTCAGTCGTTACTTCACCTCTTTCTTTTCTGATTTTGTTTATTTGCATCCTCTCTCTTTGTTTCTTGGTGAGCCTGGCAGAGGTGCATCAATATTATTTATCCTTTCAAAGAACCAGCTCTTGGTTTCATTTATATTTTGTGTATTTTTTTTTTATTTGGGGGGAGTTGGTCTCTATGTCATTTATTTCTGCTCTGGTCATTAATAACTCCTTCTTTTTGGGTACTGTGGGAACTTTCCATTATATTTATTGTAGTTGGTTTCTAGTTTTATGCCATTGTGATCTGAGAAGATGCTTGTTACAATTTCTATCTTCTTGAATTTGAAGAGACTTTGTCTGTGTCCCAATATGTGGTCTATCTTTGAAAATGTCTTATGTGCACTTGAGAAGAATGTATATTCTGTGGCTTTGGGGTGAAATATTCTTAAGATATCAATTAATTCCATCTGTTCTAGTGAGTCATTTAGGATTGCTGTATCCTTGCTGATTTTTTGTTTAAAGGATTTATCTAGTGGTGTCAGTGGGGTATTAAAGCCCCTTACTATGACAGTATTGCTATTGATCTCTCCCTTGATATCTTCCAGAAGTGATTTTATGTATTTGAGTGTTCCTGTATTGGGTGCATATATATTTATCAGTTATATCTTCTTGTTGAATTTCTTCCTTTAGTATTATGTGGCCTTCCTTATCTGTTGTTATGGCCTTCACTTTGAGCTCTATTTTGTTAGATATAAGTATGACAGCTTTTTTCTCAATTCCATTTACCTGAAAATTTTTTTCCATCCCTTCACTATCAGTCTGTGACTTCTGTTTTCTCAGGTGGTTCTCTTGCAGACAGCGAAAATATGGATCATGTTTTCTTATCCATCCAATTATCCTGTGTGTTTTGGTTGGTGCATTTAATCCATTTCCATTTATGTTTAATGTTATTATTGATAAGTACGTATTTTTTTTTTATTTGGGGGGAGTTGGTCTCTATGTCATTTATTTCTGCTCTGGTCATTAATAACTCCTTCTTTTTGGGTACTGTGGGCTTTTCTTATTGCTTTCTTTCTAATTCCTTAGTTGTAGGGTTAAATAATTTATTACCATTTTTTATCTTGCCTTTCTGTGTCTTTTTTTATAGCAGTACCTTTAGCATTGCTTGCATTGCTGTCTTGTTAGTAATAAACTCTCTTAGCCCTTTTTTTGTCTGTGAAGCTCCTGATTCCACCTTAAATTTTGAATAATATCTTTGCTGGTTATAGTATTCTTGGATTAAGTCCCTTGCTTTACATCACTTTGTATATTTCATTCCCTTCCCTTCTGGCTTGGTGTGTTTCTGTTGAGAAATCAGTTAATATTCTAATGGGAGGTGCCATGTAGAGACTTTCTTCGCTCTCTGGCAGCTTTTAAGATTCTTTGTCATTGATGTTTGACAATTTATTTATGATGTATCTTGGTGTTGGTGTTTTTGAGTTCATCCTATTTGGAACTCTTGGATTTTAATAGTTTTTTTCTTGCCAATATTGGGGAAGTTTTCTGTCATTTTTTCCAAACAGGTTTTTTACTCCTTGCTTCTCTTTCTCTCCTTCTGGCACCCCTATTATGTGGAGATTGTTTCCTGTTGTCCAAAAATTCCCTTAGGCTCTCCTCCTGTTTTTCTAAGTTTTTTTTTTTTTTTCTAGGTGCTGCTCTGCTTGTGTAGTTTTTTTCTACCTGTCTTCTAGGTCATAGATGCACTCGGAAGGGCCCTGGCTGAAGCCAAGCGATCAAGCTGTCTGTGGGCAGTTATCCAGGATGAGGGTATTTTGAATTTCTACTGCCGGAGCAGTAGATCCTTGTTTAGATAAGAACACACCCAGTAGGCACTCACAGCAGCACCCAAGAGCTGCCTGTGGAGCAGTGGGCTCAGTAGACCTGCACACTAGAAAAGAGTAATTATAAGGTTCAGAGTTCTGCAGCTGTGGTGTGGGAAGATTCAGTTTTTGCTGCCTTGTCTGTGGTTGGATACATGCACTCTTAGTGGCACCTCACCTGTGTACCCACAGTACATTTGTGGCACAGAGCTTTGATGTACTCTGAGAGGGGCCCTTTTGCTGAAGTTGTGTGACAGTGACTGTGGGCAGTTATTCAGGAAGAGTGAATTCAGAATTTCTACTGCATTGTAGTGCATCCTTGTTTGTATAATATCGCACCCAGCGGGGTCTCATAGTAGCTCCCAAGAGCTGCCTGTAGAATGGTGGGCACAGTAGGCCTGCACGCTGGAAATACACATTTGTGGCGTGGAGCTCTGATGCACCCTGAGGGACCCTAGCACTGAAACTTTGCTATGGTGTCTGTGGGCAGTTATTCAGGAAGAGTGATTTCAGAATTTCTACTGTGGGGCAGTGTGCCACTGTCTGTACAATGTCACACCCAACTGGGGCTCACAGTGGCTCCCAAGAGCTGCCTATAGAGTGGTGCACTCTGGAGGCTTGTGTGCTGGAAATGCACATTTGTGGTGGTGTGTTTGTGGAGCAGAGCTCTGATGCACCCTGAGGGGCCCTGACTCTGTAGTTGTGCAACACTGTCTGTGGGCAGTTATTCAGGAAGAGTGAATTCAAAAGTTCTACTATGGGGGAGTGCACCCCCATTCTTACAATATTTCACCCAGCGGGGGCTCATAGTGACTCCTAAGAGGTGCCTGTTGGGTGGTGGGCTCCAGCAGCCTGTGCACTGGAAATGTGAGACTGTGTTGTCCCGAGTTCTGCTCCTTGGGAGGGGGAAGCTGCACTTACTTCTGTGGGAGGGGTGCACCTTTGGAGGTGGAGGTCCTAGGGTCTGCAGGTCTGCAGGTGGGGCAGCAGGATTTTGGCTCGAGTAGCTGCTGGGTCCCAGGTAGTGTGGGTGGTGGTGTTGATGAGTTCCTAGATGAGTCTGCTCTCCACTTCAAGATGGTGTGGGCTCTGTGTCCAAGTCCTGCAGCCCGGGGTGTGTCCACAGTGATGGTAGGTGTTCCCTGTCCAGGAGAGTCTGGTCTGCCAGCCCCTGCTACTCCTACAAGATTTAACTGTCCCTCCCTCACACACACACACCAAACACATCCACACACCACACACGCACACCACATCTACACACTCTCCTTTCATTACTCTCACTCACTCACATCCTCTCCCTCACCTCTTTTCTGCCAACTACCAGTTTTAATCTCTATCTATACCGTAATTCTATAGTTAATGAAGGCGAGTGTGTCTCATCTCCCCTTGATGCTGTTGGGGGTGTAGTTCTCACGGTATTCTGAGAAAAGTAATTATCTTAATCTAAATTTAATCTAAATCTATCAGTTTACTAGAAAGCCTTATTTTCCTGAAATTACACCCTTGGGTTTCCAAACTTCCATTTATCTTAGTCCAGGCATAAAAGACATGCCTGGGATTTCAGTAGGCCTAAAATCTGAGCCAGTATTCAGTTTTCTTTCCATGTTGGGAAGCCTTTCCAGTACAACATTGGGCTAGCTACATTTGATGAGTCTATTCTGTATAAGGTTGGCATGGCTGTGGGTCATACAGGGGGATGCAAGAGAAGCCAGAGCACACTTGCAGTGGCCATGCCCATTCAGGACCCAAGAGGAGCCCCCTGACCTGGAATTGAACCTGAATCCTTTGATGCAAGGTCCAATGCTCTAAGCATTGAGCAAAACCAGCCACAGCACTTCTTTGAGTTTTTTTAAAAATAAATTTTGCATATTAGACTCTTAATAGATGTATTATTGGCCAATGTTTTCTCCCAGTAATTGTGTTGTCTTTTCAATAAAATATCTGCAAGTCACATCCAACAATTTATTAAAAATCATACACCATTACCAAGTGGGATTTATTCCAGGGATGTAAGGTTAGTACAATATCTGCAAATCAATAAATGTTTTATATCAAGTTGGCTTCTTCTGCTAATTCTTGATTACATGACTCCTGTTCAGTTAGTGTTTAGTTGGTTTTCAGGGTGAATATTTCTCAATTTAGTAGTTTGTCTTATTTTTCCTTGGAGGAGATGAGTGCAAATCTACCTACACCACTGCCATCTTGAAAGTGTCCTAATCTTCACAATGCTCTTACAAAAAAAGAGATGATAAACCACTATCAATAGCAGATGAGGAATAAGGCTAAAAGATGAAATGACTTCCCCAGGTTACAACGAAAGAAGTGTCATAAGATCCTCACTACTCTGATTCTTCTTAGAGAACCATCAGTCCTGACATTTACAATGGCTAACCTCCTACATTACTCCGTTTATCTTTGTCTAGTCTCATAAATGAATCCCAGAATATGTTTTTAAAAATCTTCAAGTAGAAAAAGCGTGTCCTAAAAGATTACTCTCCAATATTTCTCAGTCTATACATGTCTTCTTAAATGTCACAAATGTCCTTCATTCTTCCAAAACTATGAGAGTCAGGCCTGGAGATCAAATGTGACTTTTGTCTTCAGGAGCTCACAGGACTGTAAGCATAAGGTATATCTCTGGGTAATAAACTGCTAAGGCATAAAATATAACATCATTAAACTATGCTGGTGTTACGAACAATAGATTTTAAGAATTCAGATAAAATTATTTGAAAAAATTTGTGAAGGTAGTAAAATCCAGGATGTGCTGTGAGTGGTTAACTGGAATGACAGCCATAGTCATTAGCCATACCTAGCCAACAGAAGTACCCTGGGGATCTCAGAAGCTCCAAAGGTGAGAGAATCACTAGCTAGCTTTGGTGCTGAGAACTAAAATACATAAATTTTGGAGAAGGGTAAAAGTTCAGGCCTAATTGATATATTTTAAAGTTATTAATATAACTTTTTCCTGATTTTACAAAGATAATTTATTTATCTCTGTTATAAAATGTGTCAAGAAAATGGCCTGGGTAATAACTAAATTTGAAATCTAATAGACTTATTAAATACAAATAAATATTTGTATCTCAAATGAAAGGTTTTTTTAATAAAATTTTTTAATAATAAACACTCACATTATATATATATATGGCTAACTATAGCTTTTAAAGTCTTTCATAACAAAAGATTGAACTTTTACAAGTTATATAATAAAAATTATTAAATATCCAAGTATTTGAAATAATATAACACTAAATCATTCACTGATCAGTTTCCCTACTTTTGAGTTCTTGTTATAAAGAGGATAAAACATAGATTTGAATCTGTTAATGAATATATCTTATAATTTATTTGAAGTGTATCTATTGAAAATGTGAATGTATTGGCCAAAAAAAGAATTTTTTAAAATTTTTATTTCTAGAGATTTTAATATGCACTTTCAAATTTAAATAATGTCAGTTACTTAGTTTTGGTTGTCAGTAAAAAAAAGAAGTAAAGTTTTAAAATGTTAATATATGATGCTGTTTTGAATATATAAAGTATGGAGATCCTTTTTTGAAAAAGAAGGAAAAAATAGCAGTCTAAAGTTATTTCTGAACCAGAGGCCCAGTGCACAGATTCATGCACATTGAAAGGAAATTAATTAGAAGGTGGATGGCAGGGTGGGACTGGACCAGACATGTCCTGGAGCTAACCTCCCATGGTCCCTCCCTGGGTCTGCAGCTAGGAAAGACCAAGGACCCCCAGGAAAAAAAGGACGGTTGGAGACTGTGGCTGAAACCTCTCTTGGTGTGCTAGCGCAGCAGCAGAGACCGCGCCATTTTGGGCAATTGTTGCCGGCATCCAGAGACCAGCTACTAACCTGGAAACAAGGGATCTCAAGCAGCGTGACTGCGTCAACTCAGACAAGCACTGCTTCTTCTCACGGAAAGCACAGCAGAGAGAGAACTTCATAACCAAACACCTTGAGAAGAGAAACCATGGTGAAACAAAGAACCAACCCAAATATGAAAGAAAAACAGGCATCATCAGAAAAGGAAGTAAACGAAATGGAGGCAATGGAGGCAAGCACCCTGTCGGAGAAAGAATACAGAGAAATGGCCATAAGGTGGATGAAAAGAGACTCT